TTATAGATTGAAACAAATGTGCTTCAGCCAGAAAAAAAAGGGTATGAAAAGTGCTCCGATTCGCTGCAGAAAACAAAAAAATTGAACAAAACAAAAAACAAAGCAACAAAAACTGGAAATGTTGCTGGAGATGGGCTTATTTAAAATGAAAACTCATTCTCTGGCAGCAGGAGGCGCTTTTAGAGTGATAAAACTAGCGGTTTCTCCAGTAATGGCTGTAATCAAAGCAGCTCTGCTCATGAATGCTACTTTATCAGATCAAATGAAAATGTCATCGAAACTTTTCTGAAGACAGTCAATTCCCTTCAGAGATACATTCATATAAAACACCCGCGCCGTGTTATGATTTTGAAACGTGCAGTGCTCATGTTTATTCAACGAAGTCAAACGGCACAAATAAATCAATGTATGGGAAACTGGTAATGTATATCGAAATATCGGAAATGTGTTTAAAAATCATATCGCGATACATATTGATATTGAATTATTGTCCAGCCCTATCGGATCATCAATCATCAAAGCTCGGTGAATATTGGTCACAGACACAGAGATTTACTTTAAATTTCAACAAGCTGATTTACTCACTGAAAACTCCCACAGATCATGTTTTCAGGCCATTTCAAGTCTTATTTTGACGTAACAAAGTGATTATATCCAAGTCTGTGAGTTATTTACTTACTTTTTTAAATGAGTCTGCCCATTAATGCCTTTATATTGTTCATTCAGACTGCGCACATGAACACAAGAGGCAGGATTTATCGCATGAACCAATCACAGCCGAACATAACCAGTCAGATCCAATCATATCGCGATGGAGGCATTGCCTCCTCTCACGTGATTTCCCCCCCATTTACCCGGTTAAGGCTAGAAGGGACACAGCAAAAACTACTGGGCATGCACACATCAATATAGCGTAATTTTTCTCACACTGTACAACAATTACTATTTTTGCATTATTGTACTAAGGGGTAGGTGTAGACGTTAATAAAACACAATCTAATAGGTAGAAAATTCAATTTATTGTTAGCTTCCGGTTTTTGCTGTATCCCTTCTAGTCACAACCCATTTACGCCCCAGTTGGTCTGTTAAAACTCAATGGGCTCAGAGGAGGCGAGAGAGATGCGGACTCCTGCTGTAACTTTACCTGCTGGTGTCGCTGTTGGACAATGTTTCTTTAGAAAAACGAGTGATTTATACACTTTTTAATGTTATATTTTGTAATATTGGCGTTGTTTTATTTTTGTACAACAAATTTTTTTCTCATCCAATATTTTGAGGACATGTATATATATATATATATACATACATATATACAATTTTTTCTCTGCTTTGCACACAAAGTTCAATAAAAATAAGTTTGAAGAAAAAGATTTTTAGCTATGTATATAATGTAATATATATTACATTCTGCATGATTAAATATAAAGATTTCACAGTGATCCGATTCTGTATTGTTTGTTTTTTTAGTTACTACAACATTAGTAAAACCATGTTTTACTACGTTTATACATGTGAAGACGAGCGAAGATAGAATACTTGATTCAAACATTAGCTATAGCTAGCGAATACACGTGCATATTAACAGTGTAAACATGAATTAACCATGCGACCATATCATATGATTAAATGTTAATAAATTAAGTGTATCAGCACAGCAGTCATAAATAAAAGAAGACATTTCTTAGAAATATATTTTACCTAGTTGACGAGGATCACTCAGCCGCTTTGTGTCAAACGCAAATGCAGTTATGGGGTTTTTGACCAGCGAATGTGTGCAAATGTGCATTTTGTCCATCCTTAAAACGGCGGCATCACATTACGTTTTCATCAACAGGTTACAGAGTTTTTTGTAGCTATATGGGCGCTCAGTTTTTCCTGTTGTAAAATACATTTGGCCAAAATCTCATTTTATAAAAGATGAAATGCTACTGTATGCGCAGGCTATTTAAGTGTAGGCTATTGGCTATGACTGGATGGCAAATGCTAGCCCTCTCTCTCCGGTCCCACGTCTCAGACCCCAAATACATAAAATATGAGCCTTTATATAGTGTTTCTTGCGTAAAGAAAACGCTGTACTTATTCAAACAACAAGATCTTTATTTACCATTGCAAGACTTCCTTCAGCTGCTGTGAAACTTAATTTCATTCAGTAAAGATAGGGGGGCGGAGTTATGAGGTTTTACTGACAGTTTGAGCGGATCCAACAAGATTTAGTCACAAGCTCTTTTTAATACTTTTCATTGGCTAAATATTTCTAAAACAGACAGACAGACGTAAAGGGTGACCAATAGCCTTGATTTGTTGAAGAAAAAAAACAAAAACAAAAAACACCACCACCAGAAAATGGCACTATGGAGTGTAAGGGCAAAAAGGGCATGTGCTCTGCACAGGTTGAGCCCTACCTGTGCACGTGCCAGGTCACAGTATGATGACACCCTAGATAGTTCTCCATTTCTAGTAATTATAAAGTAAACAAATGCACACAAAGTAGTAGCAATAACTGAGAAGACAGCAGAGGTGTTTCCTGGTAGTTCTGTAGATGCACCAGAACTTACATGTATGTAAAATATCTCCAATGGAACACGCTTCTCTAAAATGTCTAATCATGCAAATACAACCGCACTGACAAATACAGTCCCATCTTGCCTGCCCACAGGAGAAATAGCATTCCTCTGCTTTTCCTGAGAAAGCACTATCCTATTATACTTTGGTACACTGGGGCAACTGGATTCCCTGCTGTCCTCTCCGAGAGGGGCAGGCTGCCCACGTGTGTCCTGCCACATGCATGCATTCCTGCCCCGTGAATCACACTGTAGCAGCCTGGTGTGACACGTTAGAGAACAAACTTATTGAGTTAGGGCAGGGATTGTCAAGTGGTGGGTGAGTCACTACTCAAAATGGGGTCTCAGGTTATAGGAATAAGCAATGCAAAATGAAAATAAGATATAATAAAATAAGAACAAATAAAATCAAATAAATACTGCATATTTAGGTTAAATAATTAGGCTTATCACACATCAATATACATATGTCAACATATGTAACTGAAAATATATACAAAGTAAGAGAAATATTATCCAGACTACGCATATGTTTTGTATTGTTAGTGATTTTCTTTAATTATTAAAATTCTTAATTTAATAAGCAATATTAACACCTTTAAAGTAATTTTTGTTTACGTTTGTACAATTTATGTATTTTAGTGGGTCATCACTTATGTCAAATGTAAAATCTGGGTCCTGAAGCAAAACCTGGCCACAGGCTGATGCAGAAAGACATAAATGAACTGTTGCGAATATACAACGACAAGGCAAGTATTTTGGGACATGGAAGAGAGAGGAAAACTGGAGAAGACCTAATAAAAAACACACAAAAAACATGCTGTCCTACCGCAGTGACCGAAGTGAAGCAGTCAGCTAATCAGAGGCATGTCGCAAAGTGACCCCTTCTGTCCCCACTGGGATAAACGGTTTCTATTTTTAAAGTTTTGTTCCTCAGTCTTGCATATGTTGCTTATTTCCCTGTGTTGTCTGTTTCCGGACAAACAAGTCTGCGCATTTGCCAGGCAGTCACGAATGCGGTGCTGTCATGCGGTCAGCTTTGTGTATATGACAGTATGGGGTGGTGGGCAGAGAGACGAAGAAAGAGAGACCCCTTTTGGAGTCTAAAAATAGACTGACGAGAGAGTTTTAGACACAGTGGTTGACGCTGCACATTCTGAGCTTTGGAGTGGGATCAGGTGTGTGAATCCACAGAGGACTGAAACACCACAGAGACTCTCAGCAGCAAGCAAGCAAAACATCTTCCCTCTCCTGTCCGAATCCTCCAATATTCATTTTTTTAAACAGACATTCATTAAGTAGAAGCTTCAGTTTAAGAAGCCTATTTTAAAAAGAAATTATTCAATTGTAATTAAATTGTGTGTTAAATATTGCTGAATAATAAAAAATGCTACATTTCCAATAAGGTACAAGAGGCCATGGTGTACAGAAGTGACTTATTGTGTTTAATAAAATGGTTAGTAGATAATAAAAATAATAAACGTATATATATATATATATATATATACTGTGTGTGTGTGTGTGTGTGTATATATATATATATATATATATATGCATGCATTTTTATGTATTTTTATTTATTCTACATTTTTAATGTGTGAAAAAACACTGCCATTTATATACGCAAAACAAAACCCTTACAAAACAAAACACAAAACAAGACAATATAAATGAAATAACACAAAATAAAAGGACATTAACAAAACAAATAAAGTAATAAAGTAAAATAAAATGAAATAATATAAAATAAAAAATAAAATAAAATAACATAAAAGAGCTGACGTTCTAACTAGTTTGGTAATGTTTTCTTACTTTTATGTTTTAGTTTTGCACTCCTAAAAACCGCAAAATCGAAGTAAAATATATCAAACGTCTCTCAAGAGATAGTAAAATAAAATAAATTACAATTAAAATAAATTAAAATTAAATAAAATACTGAATAAAACAAAAATGGGACCCACTTTATATTAAGTGGCCTTAACAACTATGTACTTACATTTAAATTAATAATTTGGTACAATGCACTTATTGTGTACATACATGTTTTTACATTGTACTTATATTTTAAAAATACCTGCATGTAATTACATCTGTAATTAATTTCTGTAATTACATTTATAATTACACAGTTGACCCATTCCTTACACCTTAACCCACCCTTAAACCTACCCTTACCAACAAACCTGTCCCTAACCTTACCCATATCCCTCCTCAATAGCAGCAAAAGTGTTTTGCAATACAATATGAACACAATAAGTACATTGTACTTAATATTTGATGTAAGTACATAGTAGTTAAGGCCACTTAATATAAAGTGGGGCCCAAAAATGTAATACCTAAAATGGCCCATTAACTGAATAAAGGTCATGAAGCAGGGAAATATGGACAATAAAGGAACTAAGAAACAAACACATTGAGTACAAACACACATATTGGTACCTCTATGAGCTCTGGCCGGAGGTTGATGGTGTACAGCCAGTCTGTGAGTTGTGGGTAAGAGTCCAGCGCCAGCGGTTTGTCTCTCTCTGGAACGCTCTGCTTCCACTCTAACTGTTTACTGATGTACTTCACCAGCTTCACCTGTAGATGGCGATCACACACACACACACACACACACACACACAGACTTATTAGACTGGTGTAACAACAGCTTTGAAAGACAACTCATTGAGTCATCTGTTTGCTTTTTAAATTGACACCATCTATCCCTAATTAGTTGTTATACCTTCAAAAGAAGAGAAATTAACCTCTTATTAACTTAACATGAAGCTCTTTGTAGATTAAGATCCTTTGAGAAAAGGATCATCAGGATGACATCAGACACAAAGGCAAAAAAAATAAAAATAATTCTAATTTCATGGCATATGTTTCAGAGCGCTTCAGAGAAAAAGAGCTGTTTCAAAGTCCCCAGTCAGATGCCACAGAAGTTTGAAATCAGTACACCAATGAGGGACAAGCATGTTGAAATTCAGCACCAGCATTTTTCTCTAAACCTTCGTGTCCGCAAGCAAGCGTTGCACACAGAATGCAAAGTGAGAACAGAGCAAAGGAAATCCCCATGTGTGACTTCATTGTAAACGGTGGGCGATGAAAATGTGTGTTGTGCGTGTGTGGTGTCAGTAAAACAACCGAATACAGTGCAAACAAACACTGTACACAAACACACTCTCTTTTTCAGTTCAAGTACCAGCCAGTGCATCCATCCGTCATTTTCTTACCATCACTAGACTGATATTGGGTTAAAAATAACAAGTCAATAACGTACAATGCCCACAGGACAAAGATGTTTCAGACGTTCCCTCCCTTTGTTGCCGTAACGCTCCCACTGCAATAAACAGTGCTGTCTATAAATAGACACTGGTTATCATGGCAATGGAGTCTGGACTCTTTCTCATGGGGGCGTCTGTTCCGCCACTATGGCAACCCTGGCTGGAACACACTTGGCGGCTGCAGCCAGAGTCCCATGTGACATCATGGAGCAGCGAGACACTGCGGTCCACAGGTTAACAGAAACCACCACACACCTGCCTCTACAGGTACAAGTTCAAACACCTCGGAGACAACCACAGCTGCAACTGTGCTCATAAAGAAGAGGCCGTTTTCACTGACTGAAAGCTATGAAGATTGCTCAGAAATAAAAAGGTTACTTTAGGTAAAATTAGGTAAAAGACTTGGTTCCATAGGAGGTTTGGTGTTTAAGTTAATTCACTTCATTTACTACAAACTGCATGAAGTGGAAACAATAGTGGCACTCACCTTTTTTGAATATATAGATATTAGGGGTGTAACGGTACACAAACATGACGGTTCGGTACGTACCTTGGTTTTGATATCACGGTTCGGTACAGTTTCGGTACAGCAGGGGGAAAACTAATTTTTTTTTTTTAAATTAAACAGTGGTTTACTGAACAAATTGCTCTTTCTTTAAACTCAGTTATAATTCAAATAAATTTTCTTAAAAATAAAAATCTACCTCGGCTTATGCTCTAAACCAGTGTTTCCCAACCGGGGTGCCGTCAGTCGAGAGCAGGGGTGCCATGTAAAAAATACTTTTTAAATATTTTTAAATTGCTAAAATGTCCAAAAAAGCAGCTATTATATAATATCCATTTCTGATGTCGCCAATAATTAGAGATGCACTGAAATTCCGGCTGCCAAAAATTAGTTC